ATTCTGGAGGTTTTGTCTGAGGGCCATTGGGTTATTTTGGACCTGTTGCATCAACTTTCTTCGTAATCTGGGAGAGATCTTCCTAAGAGCACCGGGTCTGCCTTTGTTCTCAACAGTATTACGTCTTTTAAATCTTGCAATAAATGAACCAATTGTTGAAAAGGGTATGTTCGTATCACTGGAGATGCTTCTGTAACTTTTTCCACTGTCCCATAGCTTAATAATTAGCTCTTTTTGGGCACAAGTCATTTCCTTACGCCTAGCCATTATTAGAACCGTTATCAGTGAACAGTGACTGCAGAATGATCCAATTCTGAACTGAATGTTGCAATAGATTTACTGTGAATATTCTAGAACAGTTTAGAATCTTCTACTTTGAAGTACAACCAAAATCTACCCTATTATAATGCAAAAATTGATTGTATAAATACTTTTTCCACTATTCGAAATATAAAAATTTGCATCACTATCGCTTATCGATGAATTTCTAATTTTAAATTGCTGATTCTGATTCTATGCCCCAAAATACATATATAACATTGTTATTCGAAGTTTTCATTCGCTATAAGTGAAAATAACAAGCATTTGTTTGTTGTACGATCATTTATTCAACCCCACTGTATAACGAAATGTAATAACGAAAACGCAAGAGGATAAAAAAAAATAACCTGGGCGAAACGTAGGTCGATTAAGAAAAGATGACTTAAAAAAAAAAAAAGTGATAAATTTAAGAATTAGTCTGGAGATGGGAATCAAAAAATAAAAGTACTAAGTCACAAAAATATAAAAAAGGAGACATAGAAAGAAATTATAAAATGAGCATTTAAAAAAATAGTTAAAAAAAAAAAAACAATATTAAAATGTATACAAATAAGAAAAAAAAATTGACAAAGTTTATTTTCAGAAATTTCAGACGTGTCTTCTTTCCAGCTTCTTTGCGTTCCATTTAACTCGTCCGGACTTAAAAGTGATGTTCCACAAATTAGAAATTGCGTATAAAAAGAAGAGAAAACTAACTTGGTCGTCATGATTTTTATCGGCATCATCACTCGATGGTTGCCGTTGATAAAACTCGCAAGAAAAATGATTTTTATGGAAACTGATGCCATTTTCAGATAATGAGGTCAAAGAAAGGGTCAAATCCGGGAGAAGAAGGATGAGTAATATAACATTAGTGTTCAATATTATCTCCGCAGTAAAATGGTGTTAGATGAGTCAAATTTGAGAAGGATTCAAAAAATAGCCCAAGAAACTAACAGGACACGTACAAAATTAGCAAACATTCAGTGATATGCATATTAGCATACTAACCGTAAAAATGGCGTTTCTGCCCGGGATTATTGTATAATATGTACGTAAGTTATAAAAATCTATAATATAACGAAAAAAAAAAGCATTATTTTATTAAGGAGGAAATTTCGCTCAGACATCGTCTTTCCGAGAAATGTCACTTTCTGGAACACCTCCCGAGCTGAGGCGTCACCGACAACAACCTTGTAACCTCTAGGGTGGAACGATATATATCCTACATATCCTCATTATATACACATTTTTGGATGTCAGCGAACAATCCTTGCCACTTTTGTAATGTCAACGAATACTCATTGTCACTTTTGTAATGCTCATAGTAGTAGAGACTTTGTAATTGGAGATACAACTATAGTAACGCCGTTGAACAATACTGGTGTCTGACGCCTTCGAATAGCACTCGCACTAATAGTACTTGCTCGATAATACTCGCTCGAAAAGTAATCTGTATAGTGATCCGAATAGGGAAATATTATAGTGAATAGAGTAGAGAATAGCGGTCCATATAGTAATAGAGGATAATGTAGAAATGATGATCCATAGAGGATAGAGTTAGAAAGATTGATCGTTTAGACGATACGCTGATTTCCATATATTTATTTCCTTTACAGTCACGTGATTTATTTATTCAAAATGTGATCGCCTGTGTTTGCTATCTAGCGATCTATGTTCAAACTACAATGACGTCAGCGAGACTTTACTCCTATACAACACGTATCTTCTTATTCCAGCCTTATAGACTTACAACAATTTCTTCTGGTAACTTAAATCTTCTTCCGGTTTCTGGATTTCCAGTCAACTATGATATTCTTAAAATGTAACTATAATGTCAATCGTTATCTTCCGTATTCTTAACTCGCGTTCTTTGGTCTCTCATCTTAAATTTTTTTCTTTTTTTTCTCTCCATATTCTTTCATCTCAGTCTTTTAGTGGCTTTATTGCCTTGCTTGGGGTAAAATGATTTTAAAAAGAACTCTACTTTTGATGGATTTTGGATGTTGTATTCGATGAATAATAGTAAAGAAATGTTCAGAAAAAATATCTCTATCAAAGACAGTTGTACACATGGCAAAACCGATGTAAATTTGAGTTAATATCCTGATGGTTTGGTTTCGTTTGCTTTGCTTTACGACATATCAACCTCAATGGGTTATTTAATGCCGACAACATTTTTAGGATCGATTCGTATGAATAGAATGTGTATTCATTGGTTTAGATTGGTTTGGTTTATTTTGTTTTACGGCATATCAACCTCAATGGGTTATTTAATTCCGACAACATTTTTAAAATAAATTCGTATGAATAGAATATGTATTCTTTGGTTTAGATTGGTTCGGTTTATTTTGTTTTACGGTATATCAACCTCAATGG